GGGTTAGTTACTGCTCACCTCATCACTTCTATGAGTTAGAAGAGGAGCACTGCATTCAGTGTCACTGAACATATGATTAATGTTGTGGCACAACTGTAATCAGGCTGTAGGGTGCAACTGACAACAGGTACAGATCAATGTTTTGACCCATGAGCAGTCCTCACACTTTCCCAGTCCTAAGGGAGAAAGTTCTTGAAAAAGAGTGGAGCTTAGGAGAAAAGACACAGCTAGATCAAGCCTAGACCAAAATAATGGAGCTCTCCACTCTTTGGAGTATTTCTCATCACTCCAACCACCATCATCATCATATCACACCCTCAATAAACTTATTAGAAGGAGTCTAATTTAGGATCTGGATTTCAGTTTCCTTTCCCTGGTATGCATTATATAAGTAGCAAAACCTCCCAAGGTAATGTGAGTTCATGAGGAAAATAATGATGCAAATGAGGTGCACATGCTTACCAGTCTATGCTAAAGGAAGCAGACTCAATGGACCAAATAGACATGAATCTAATACATATATAATGAATATGTCCTACAAGATGAAATGTAGTACTAGAAATATGAAACAGGAACAAACAATATAAAGACAAAACTGGTGGTAAAATCACCATTGAAATTAATCAGCAAAATAGACATAGCTGAAGGATGAAATCAGTAAGATGCAAGTTCAGATCATGAAAATTTCCCTGGAAGAGCTAAGAACAGACGGAGATGAGAAAAAAAAAAAACAACTAATAATAAAGGTTTGAAGTAGAAGTGTAATAGAGATCACAGAAGGAGAGAGAAAAACAAATACTAAGAAATATTTAAAGAAATAATGATTGAGAATTTTCCACAATTAGGAAAAAAAAAAGTAAGGCTGTTGATTTAGAGAGGTGATAAAGCACTAACGGGAAATGTTAAAAACAAAACAAAAACAAAAAAGTATATCCATTAGAGTAAAATTTAAGATAAAGTCAACAAAAACTCTCAAGACCTCTAGAGGGAAAAATTATATTACTTTCAAAACAAAAAGGATCTGCTGCATGTTGGACTTCTTAATAGTTATACTGGGAGCTATATGAAGAAAAAACAAGTTCAAACCTAAATTTTATATCAAAACTATCATACTTACATTTGCCTTCTCGTATCTTCAGTTTTGCTTTTGTTTCTGAGATGGCTTATTTTTCTGGAGTTCTGTCAACTCCTATGTCATTTGCTCCTGTTCTCTCATCTTGTTCCTAAGCTCTTGCTTCTCTGCTCAGTGCTCTTGATTGCAACAAATAGCTGTTCATTCAATCATGAAAATTCATGGCCAAATATTTAGTCACAATTTCTGTCTACTCTATGCCAGTATTTTTAGTTTAGTTTTATTTTCCTGTTTTTCTTCCTTCCTTCCTTTTTTGTTTTGTTTTCACACGCAAAATAGTATTAGCCTCTGCTGGTAGTTCTTTTCTTTTGTAGGTGTGGTACTGGGAATTAAACACAATGCCCCAAGTGTGCTAGTAGTGAGCTTCATCCCCACCACTCTAAAAAAATTTTTGGGACAGGGTCTCTAACTTGCCCAGGCTGGCCCCAAACTTGAAATCCTCCTAAGTAGCTGGGATTACAAGTATATACAACCACATGTGGCCTCAGCTGTTCTTCCTTGATGACTTATTTATTTGAACTGGATAAGGAAGGTTTTTCTTAATCAACTATTTGCAGAGGGCTTGTGCATAAAGAAGGCTGTAATTTTCCTTAATATCTAAGTTTTGTGCATTAATTTGTTATTTACTTGTCTACATTGATTACCACCACCCCCATACACACATACATAAGGCCCATGGATCCTCTTCTCACTGTTACAAACTAAGGATTTAGAACTGCCCCCTGTGTATAAGCTTTCATCTTTTTAAAAAATTTATTTATTCTAATTTGTTATATATGACAGCAGAATGCATTTCAATTCATAGCACACATATAGAGCAAATTTTTTCATATCTCTGATTTACACAGTCACATAATTTGTGTCTTCATACATGTATTTGTAATAATGATGTCCACCTCATTCCACCATCTTTCCTAACCCCTGTTCCCTCCCCTTTTCCCTATCTAAAGTTCCTCCATTCCTCCCATGCCTCCCTCCCCATTTCCATTATGGATTAGCATCCTGATATCAGAGAAAACATTTGGCATCTGTTTTGGGGTGGGGGTGGGATTGGCTTAATTCACTTAGCATGATATTCTCTAACTCCATCCATTTACCTGAAAATGCCATGATTTTATTTTCTTTTATTGCGAGTAATATTCCACTATGTATACATACCACAGTTTTTATCCATTCATCTACTGAAGGGAATCTGGGTTGATTCCACAATTTAGCCTTTGTGAATTGTGCTGCTATAAACATTGATGTGGCTGTGTTCCTGTAGTATGCTGTTTTTAAGTCCTTTGGGTATAAATTGAGAAGTGGGATAGCTGAGTCAAATGGTGGTTCCATTCCAAATTTTCCAAGGAATCTCCATACTGCTTTCCATATTGGTTGCACCAATTTGCAGTCTCACCAACAACGTAAGAGTGTGCCTTTCTCCCCACATCCTCGCCAACACTTATTGTTGTTTGTATTCTTAATAGCTGCCATTCTGACCAGTAATGAAATCTTTAGTTTTGGTTTGCATTTTTCTAATTGATAGAGATGTTGAATATTTTTTCATATATTTGTTGATCGATTGTATATCATCTTCTAAGAAGTGTCTGTTCAGTTCCATGGCCCATTTATTGATTGGGTTATTTGTTTTCTTTTTGAGTTCTTCATGTATCCTAGAGATCAGTGCTCTATCTGATGTGCTGGGAAAACTGGAAATCCATATGCAACAAGTTGAAATTAAGCCCCTATCTCTCACCACGCACAAAACTCAAAGTGGATCAAGGACCTAGGAATTAAACCAGAGACCCTGTGCCTCATAGAAGAAAAATAGGCCCAAATCTTCATCATGTCAGATTAGGCCCCAACTTCATAAGACTCCTATAGTGCAAGAAATAAAATGAAGAATCAATAAACTAAAAAGCTGCTTCTCAGCAAAAGTGAGGTGAATAGTCTACAGAATGGGAGCAAATTTTTACTATAAACTTTCATCTTTGAGAAGTGTACTTGGCTCTTTCTGCTCTCTGGAGCCATAGCATTCCATTTCCTCTCAGAGTCACTTCTTGACAACTGCAGCTTTGGGCAGTCCTTCCAGTTATTTGGGGGCTTGGTTTTAGAGCTTTTTCTTGGGATCCCCCTCAAATGGAGTTTGTATACTTCTTGCTTTTTATAAATAAAAGAGGGGAGAGGGCAACTTTACACTGCAATTGTCACTTTGAAAACCCACATAAACAATCTTTTAAATGTGAGGATGAAATAAAAATATTCAAGTTCTTAGACAGTTACTAGACAAAGATACCCCCAAATTAACATCAGTCAAAAGAAAAATACAAAGAGTATCCAAGCTATGAGTATTGTGGAAGAGACAGCAATTCAAAGCTAAAATTCTACTTGACACCAACTAGGCAGGAGTATATATCAGAGTTACGTGCCTACTTCTTTGGGTATTAGGAGACTTCTCCTTGGAAACTTGAGCATTTTGTGCTAGAGGAGTTGTTGAGATCATGTCTTCTCATTTGGCAGGGGCTGGGGCTGTAGGTCCCTCAAAGACATACTTTCTTAATTTCCCTTAAATGCTTAATATGTAGCACACGGGAGAGAATAAATTATAAGTGAATAGTCACATAGAAATTAAGAGTCACTTAGGTCACCTGGCTCTTGATCCACTGCTCTTACTCTTCTAATACACCATGTTATTCAGATGAACTTTCCCACAGACTTATCATTACTTTTAAATGTTTTATTAAAATTAATAATAAACCATGAAATTTTCTCAAAATTTTGGCAGGATAGGACTACAATATAATTCTCATACCATTTCTGGGTATGTTAGGGTTTAAGAAGAGCTTTATGTGTTTAATTATTCATTATTACCAATATCTGCCTAGACACTTAGATTGGGATGTGGGCAGGGAAGGGCAGGGAAGAGTTGGTGACAATGGACTGCATGTATAAGTGACAAAAGATCACTAGCTTTGTAGTGGGGGAAAGGATGAAATGACAGAATGTAGCTTGTAGCTCTAAACAGCGAAGACCTATTTATTTCAAATATGTATTTGAATATATAGTTTCATCTTCTACTATTTCACCTCCCTATAAATCCTAAGACAGCAAGTATAATATTAATGACTGGTCTAAAAAAGAGAAAGAAGAAAAAAAGATCAATCTTCTCTTCATTCATTAAGGCTATATATTTGAAAATTACTTTTCCTTTATTTCTTTCTTCTTGCCAAATCTTAAACTACTACCCTCCAAGCGGGTCTGTTCTGTTTGTTTTGGAACAGCTCACTTTGAAAATATTTGGTTCTAGTCTCCTGTCCTACTTTAGGCCTAGAACTCAAGAGCCAAGTACAGAACAGTCTGGAAAGAGTAGGATGAAAACATGTTCCTTGGCTATGTGCTCTCTATAGAACAGCGGATGTTTCTTGTTATACACTTGAACAAATGTGTAAGTCTGCTCCCAATCTCTTCCTGGATGGTCTATGACACTTACGCAGGTCTCCTTGGGGTCTCATGGAGAAATGAGCCTTCTTAATCTAGAGGCTAAATAGAAGGTAGTGTTGGGGTCCTGGCAACATCAGAAATCACTTTGAATGGCAGTGTCAATGGGAGAAAGGTTCATGTAACTTTATCCATTTTAATAACAAGTTTCAAAAATCCCTTTTGGTGGAATTGGCTAAGTGACAGGAAGGAAAATTGTTTTAACTAGCAGCATGCCACATTCTAAACAGATTTTTGAGAACAGTGTGTGTGTGTTTGTATGTGTATAAAGTAAAAGTAGAACCTTAACTGTCCAGTGCAGTACACACACATACAAAGACCAATTGTCATAACCTATTGTTTATAGCTTACCAAGTATTTTTGTGTTATTTTACTTAGTTCTCATGACAAATCCCAGAGGAAATCCTTTATTAGACATGGTAGAGAATGGCCTAGAACTAGCTTTTTATAACAGATTGGGGCCCCAAAGGTTCAAATGGTCATGATATTCAGCTGACATAATGAGATAACATAATGAAGAAGTAGTCTGCAAGTTACAGTATCTTAAGGTGTTAGGTAGTGGCCTTAAGCAAGAGTCTGAGTGTTCTTATTCGCTTCCATTTTACGCTTTTTTTTTTATTGATTGTTCACAACACTACAAAGCTCTTGACATATCATATTTCATACATTAGATTGAAGTGGGTTTTGAACTCCCAATTTTTACCCCAAATGCAGATTGCAGAATCACGTCGGTTACACATCCACAATTTTACATAATGCCCTATTAGTAACTGTTCCATTTTACCTTTTATATTTCCATTATTATGGCCTTAGGAGCAGACCTGGCTTCAAGGAGAATAAGTACAGTGAGTTTGGGGTAAAATGTGAGTCCTTTTGTTAGGGATAGTTTACTAATTATTTGATCAGAATCTAGGCCTTGAGGAAATAGCTCACATTTACTTGGATAGGACCTGGACTCCCTGAGCTGCCCCTAACATGATGCCACTCATCAATACGAATAACAATGTGAACATCATCTGGAAACCAAGCACTGTTCTAATATGATCTGTAGGATAATACGACAGCCAAGAGAGCCATTTTTAAACATCTATAACAAGATTATAGAAAACGATACTAACTGTACTCTGTTTGATCAGATGGCAGAGTTCATTGATCATTGCTGGATATAAATATTATGAGTCATCAAACTAATAGAAGAAAAGGATAAGCAGGATGGTTTTGGATTTCTCAATGTTGTCTTAAGTCACAGACTGTACAGGGCACACAGCTTTCAAATATTCTGCCTACATTTACTCCTCCCTTAAATTGGTGAGGAAGGCTGGTGGGATGTAATTCTCTGCACTTAGTGACATGGTTAGATTTTTTTGTTGTTGTTCTATTCCCCCGCGCCCAACCATTTAAAAATCTGTGGCTTCTCTACAGCACCAATGTGTAAATGTTTGTTAAACGAATTTTGCTTCAGAAATAATAAACAATAGAAGTCAGAATAAAAGGAGGCTAATGATAAAGCAGTAAACAAACTGCTGCAGGAAGTTAACACCAAGAAAAAAAATCAAGTGATGCCCAGAGGCCCCTTTGTCAGGGATTTGGTTAAGCTGGACAGTAGTTATTAAGTACCTACTGTCTGATAGTCACCAAGCATCATGAGGTAACATGAATAAACCCTGGTCTTTGCCCTCATGAAGCATGTAGAGTAAGAAAGCCTGATACGTACTAGAGTACCTAGAGTTGGAGGAACAATTAAGAATTATCAGAAGTCAGGCACATAGTGTGTGCCTATAATCCCAGCAGTTTGGGAGGCTGAGGCAGGAAGATTGTTAGTTCAAAGTGAGCCTCAGCAAATTAGCAAGGCCCTAAGCAACTCAGAGAAGTCTAAATTTAAAGTATAAAAAGGGCTGGGGATGTGGCTCAGTGGCTAAGTTCCCCAGGTTCAATCTCTGGTACAAAAAAAAAAAGTCAGGAAAAGCCTGGACAAAAGAATAGTATAGACAAAAAGAATACAGGTGATGTACTTGAAGTCTTACCAGTAGTTGATGTCATAGAGTAATTCCTTCTTTGGCTATGAAAATGAGATACATGGCTTCTAAAGTCCTTTTGAAACTCAACTTCAGAAATCTCTACTTTACCATCTCTGGTAATTCTCTGCCAGGTCCATCTCAGGCCAACCGGTTTAAATAAAATTGTGTGCTTCTTTACCAGCGGCGTATTAAAAACATTGAGAAAAGACATGGGCTTTGCTGCAGTGTTTTTACGTTGTGCTATATGGCCTTAGAACCCATTTGCTTAAGCAATTCTGACTAGAAATAGATTGGAAAAATCATTAAGGTGTTAGCTCACAAATAGAACCTAGCTTTACCTAATAGGACACTTAAATTCTGAACTACTAAACATAATTTTTGTAAAGAGGCCCTTATACTAGTAATTAAAACTTAAGCCAATTCTGTCACTCTTTGCACCCTTGATCTACTTTAGTTTTCTTCACAGCATTTATCACTTTACACTCCTTTGTATCCCACTGCGATGGAACACCTTTGAGGACAGAGAATGCCTGTCCTGTTCAGAGTGTATTTCAAGAGTCTATCATGATAGTAACTGGCACATTCCTGCTCCTTTTCTTCCCCAAGTCAGGATCACAGAAACTGGAATTTCCTCCCCAAGGCATGTCATAAAATATACTGTAATCTTCCCCCACAACTGTCTTGGAGATGGCCATTAAAAAAATTCTCTCACCTACCTTGTCGGTTAGTAAGCAGATCATAAGACTCCCATTTCAGTCCTGCCTCATACCCAGGAGGCAGAAATACTATAGACAGGCCAAGAAGAATCTGAACAGACGGACTTTGCTGCATTTCCCCACTCAGTCTATTAACATTATACCATATCCTTTTTGTCCAACCACAGTTCTACACCCTTCAATCACACACAAAGAGGTTTCAGTAAAGCCTCAGAAGGATAAGACTGAGAGCTTCTGAACAGCTGAACACATGGAGGCTTACAGGAAGGTAAGCAAGAACTCCTACCTGTGCTTGAGGATGATGGTACACTCCAACTCCATGGGGACAGAAGTTCCTGCAGTCAAGGCCCATCCAGATATTGCCCTAGGTATACCTTCAGCTGGCTATTTACTTCTATCCTTTCAAATATAATTTATAATGAGTATATGTATTTTTCTGAGCTCTATGAGTTATTTTTTTAAAAATGATCAAGTCTAAGGAAGGGGTTCCAGGAATTCCAATTCATAGCTAGTTGGTCAGAACTTCTAGAGGCCTGGACTTGTGACTGGCGTCTAAGGTGAAGGGCAGTCTGGTGGAACCGAGTCCTCAGTCTATCAGTCTTTTGCTTTTATCTTCACACAGTGTCAGAACTGAACTGGATTAGAGCTATAATTCCGCACACATTTTAGAATCACAGAAGTGATCTATGTTGTAAACAAATAATAGGAGAAACACTTTATTTTCCCGTTATATCCTCAGAATTAACATAAAACACTCTTAAAATCTGCTTCTGCATATGAGTAACTATTAAAACTTGGGAGTAGAAAGATGACACAACTTTCTTCCTTGCATCATTATTTTGTGTTTCTGAATTTACATAATGAAGAATTGTGGCCTATTACTACCAAATAAGAAATTAATAAATTAACTTATGAAAGCTGGAAGATAGAACACTTAAAATGCTAGTGAACAATTCTGTGAATATAGTTTAGAACTCATTTACTATTTTTAGACTCCAAAAATCTCTCTCTGTAAAAGAAAAAATCTCTTATCTGGACATATCAGAGTCTAGTGGGGTCCTTCAGAGGTTGTAACACTAACATCTAAAATGCTACTATGAAGAGACCCTGGGACCAATAAACACTCTTTCATTCTAAAGGCTGTCCAAGTGCTAAACATAATTGTACTAAGCAGATGACTTGTACTGAGTGTTTGTGACAACTTAAGACTCAGCTTTCTAAGGGTAAAGGTGTGCTGCTTACATGGAGGAAGCTGACACTGGACAGTTAAGAAGTTCTAGTACAGAAAAGTAGAGAAACCAGGTTAGTTCATATTTATAGAACAGTGAATGTTATCAGTTAAATCCTGGGAAAAAACTGGCCCAGAAAGGCAGAATGACAACCAAGATTTACAAATTTCATTATGTTTAAAGAGAGTAAGGATAAAAAACCCAAATATTTCTTTTTTGTTTAAAACAATTTTTTTTTCAAAAGTAAAACTTAGCTGTCAGCTTTGTCAATCTGACTTTATTTTTTAAAGGCCTTAAAACACGCATTCAGGAAAAAAAATTCAAAGAATTTTTAGAAACCATGTTAATTGAGAATATTATCAATGTTTTTTTTTACAAATAACTTTATATATATATATATATATATATTTTACAAAGTGGCATTAACTGGCAATATTTCTTGTAAAAGAAATGTTTATACATCTCACCAAGAGCACTGGCCTGTAGTACAGAACATTCCATACAAAAACACAATGTCATTAAGAAACACAGAGCTATCCTAAAACAGAAAAGAAATTCTAGTTTAAATGTAATAATTGCCCCCAGAGACTTTCTTCCCATTATGCTTTAAGGAACAACCAAAAAAATCCTTTAACTTGAACCTTTAACCCCACAGTTAAATACTAGTAAAAGAACTCTAATTGATAAGTACTAAATTAAATACTTTCCTAGTATTGTCTTGGCAATTTTTAATTTCTTAAGATGACTTTTTATAAATTCCCAAGTGTCAAAATATTCCAACGGTAAGTTTTTATACATAAAATTTATTATTTTATACATAATTAACAATATAAAGTTATTTTTCTACAGAAATTTAAAATATACCTTCGATATAGCCAAGTTCTAATCTTAAAAAGAGAAAGTACTCAATCAATTTGCTTTTGAATTCATTTCTCTAGAAGACCTGTCCGTAAGGACTTCTGGAGCCTAGCTATGTTGGCATCCAACGCTGCTAGGCCATTTCTGAAGTCTTGTTCATCACGAGACGTAAATGTTGAAAAAGAAGAGATACTCCAGTCTGACATCAAGTCAGAATTTAAAAAGCTGCCATCACAGACAACATTGCTTTTCACTTGAACATTGGTGCTGTGACAAGCTGACAGGCCAGGACATGCAGCTTGTTCCTCTGGATCCTCAGCAGCAACAGGGATCTTACCAATTGCCTCCTTTATTTTCTTGAGGAGCTGTTTGTCTTCCGTGTCGGTTGTTCTGGAAAGTTTTTCAGGTGCATCTTCTGTTTCATTTTTTGAAGAACAAACTACAGGTACACACAGTTTATTTTCTGTTTCAGAGATAAGTGCACTATCGCTGACTAGTTGTCTTGTAGCAACACTTATCTGTGGCTGGGGGGATACTCTCTTAGAAAGTGGTAGGTTCTTCTTAGAAGGGCTTCTAGCAAAAGGAATATAAATTGTGCTATCTAAATTACATTCATCTTCTATTAAAGTCATGGTTTCACACTCAGCATCAGAATCCTGTTTTGAAAGGGTAGAAAGAATCTCAGGTGCTAATACTCTCTCCATGCCCCCAATATCACTATGTGGAGGGACTTTGGAGGGCAAAACATTTTCATAGGGGTTTTTTTCTATGGTTTTTTCATTTTTAATTGCAGAAACTGGCTCCAAATGTGTAAAAATGTGATTTGTTTCTAACTTATTTAGGTAGCTCATAATGGAAGTGTGGGGAGGGACTGGGTCCTGTTGAAGCTGTTTATCATAAATGTTCAGAATTGATTTGGTAAGGTTATTTCCAGGCTTGCAGCAAGCAGTGTCCATACTAAGATCTGAGAGCAGCTTTGCCATACTGTTCTGTAAAGTTCTGTCAAGAAGAATTTAGTAAAGTAATTATTTTTTCTATCTGTTTCATTCATATATACATACCTTCATCTTTAAAAAGAAGGACTTGAGACAAGGGTCTGGTTCTTACTATGAAAACTAAAAGACAAAAATTACAGAATATGCTCTGGCAAGAGTATATTAAAATAACAAAGGATGAAAGATCTTGATTTGCATCAAATCTAATTATATCTAAAAATAAAGGCTCAGAATTTTTTTCTCTCTTAAGATATAGAAATGCCTTATTCCTGAGCAACACTGCAAATAAATCTTTGAGTATAAAACCATCATAATATAAGTAGGCTAAGATATAAAGCAAAATGGAAAATAAAATACTCATTTGCTATGTATTCTGTTAAAAATTATTTTCCTTGCTGGGCATGGTGGTTCACATCTACAATCTCAGCTGCTCAGGAAGCTAAAGTAAGTAGGACGACCTGAAATTCAAGGTCATTCTGGGCAACTTAGAGAGACCCTTCCACTTCCATAAAACTTAGAGGGCTGGAGATGTATTTCAGTTGGAAAGCACCCCGAGGTTAAGGGAAAAAAAGAAAATCTTCCATTCAAGAGATACACTCAGGATAATATTAGAACAATACAGGAATAAACAGATGGATAGAGATAATTACGTCATAATTAGGGATAAGCAACAGCTAGTTATTGGAAAAGAGTGATATAAGAAAAACCACCCAGGCTTAGAAGCTAAAAAGAAATGGGGCCAAATCCTATTGCTATCATTAGCTGTGATCTTGGGCAAGTCACTTAGCCTTTCTGAATTTCAATTTCCTCAACTGTAAAATGTAGATACTTACTTTAGAATTACAAATAAATACGATTAAATAATAAAATATGAGTAAAGTGCTTAGCACAGTTTCAGTCTAAATGTGTGCTCATCTCATTTGATGACAGCTTTTATTTGTAGTCCTATTAAAACCATTTTAAAGCCTTTCGTCTATATGAATTGAATCATATGATCTTAAATATCAATGAGAAGCCAGGCACAGTGATGCATGCCTATAATCCCAGTGGCTCGGGAGGCTGAGACAGGAGGATCACAAGTATAAAGCCAGCCTCAGCAATAGCGAGGTGCTAAGCAACTCAGTGAGACCCTGTCTCTAAATAAAATACAAAACAGGGCTGGGGATGTAGCTCAGTGGTTGAGTGTCCCAGGTTCAATCAATCCCTGGTACCCATCATCCTCCCCCCTCCAAAAAAAAAATCAATGAGAAAAAGATAAACAGAGAAAAGATAGATACAAAGGATATCACAGGTAATGAACAAAAAAAAAAAAATATATATATATATATATATAACTAGTCAATAAGCATGTCTTAAAAGTTCTACTTTTGTTTTTTCCACAAATTGCTAGGCAAGCACTACATCCTTGGCCTCAAACTTTAAAAAGTTTCAATGAGATAAACTCAAATTTTAAATGTGATTTATTTTTTTCCCGTTTCTTTGTTTATTGAACATAGTAAAACAAGAATAGTCCTAGGGAATGAACCCAGGGCCTCCTGCATGCAAGCACTCTACCACTGACGTCCGTTCATAGTACTTTTTACATTTTGTTTTGAGCAGGGTCTCACTAAGTTGTCAATGCTGGCCTCAAACTTGAGATCCTCCTGCCTCAGTGTCCACAGTAGCAGGGATTACAGGTGTGCACCACCAACCTCAGAATATACTATATCCTGTGACCCACAAACTTGAACTTCCAGGAATTCATCCTAGTGCTGCTATATACAAAGAGATTGTACTCAAAGACAGTTATAAAGATACTAATAATAGAAAATTGATGGATATAAACTTTAAAAAGATATTTACAATAGAAAAAATATGTATATTTGTCTGTTTGATTTAAGTAAATTATGGATAACAGCATAACAGTTATTTTTTTTTTTTTAGTTGTAGTTGGACATAATACCTTTACTTATTTTTATGTGGTACTGAGGATCGAATCCAGTGCCTCACACGTGCCAGGTGCACACTCTACCTCTGAGCAACAACCCCAGCCCACATAACAGCTATTTTATAGTCATGTTGTAAAGAATATTTATTGATGGGAAAAAGTACATTATATAAAGATAAGTTTAAAAGAGGAGGCCATAAATAAAGTGGATTTAATACCATCTTTATAAAAATCAGTAGTTAACACATGTAGACATAAAATACTAAAAGGAAATCTCTATACCATTCTGTATCTCTGGATATAGAATGAATGATTTTTTTTTTCCCCTATAAAAGGGAAAGTTTGAAGGGTTGGAGGAACTGTTTCACTCTGACCATGTTACCCCTCCTTCAAGCTGGTACACAGTCACACAGAGAGGAATGCCCTGGGTCCATGGTTTCTATAGTGGTAAACAAGCTGGACGTAGATATTCGGCTTCCCATTCCAGCATCAGTGTTCTGCTTCAGGCTTCCCCAGGCCAGAAGATAAATTCAAGTCTCAGCATATCTGTGAGAAGAGCATCTGGTGCCATCCAACCAGAGCTAATAGTGATGAACCTTCCCAACATGACAGTTCTGCATACAACTTTCCTAGGCCAAAAGGAAAGTGTATCCACCCAGTACACCCATATCCATGAGGAGGCCATCTAGCCCTATCCAACCCCAGTGCCTGACTTATAATCCCACACAGACCTGGTGCTCTGATTAAGGCTTTTCCAAGCCTGGAGGCAAATGTGCATCCACACATACTGTGAAGAACAGCTAAGTAGTAGAGGAGTGACCATAACCAAACTCTGAGTTCTGCATAAGGAAATGATGGCTGAAATTTTCCCCTATCTGCGGAAAGATATCAAAATCCAAGAATAGGAAACTCAGAGGTTTCAAATCAATTCAACCCAGAGATTTGGTCAAAATCAAAGACAAAGAATTCTGAAAGAAGCAAGAGCTAACAAACATATCATACAAGGGAGCGCTGATAAAGCTATTAGTGAATTTCTCAGCAAAATCCCTATGGACCAGGAGAGAAAAAATGGAGTAGCATACTCAAAGAACTGAAAAAAAAATTGCTAACCAAGAATACTTTACTTAGCAAAGGTGTTATTCAGATATGAGAATAAAAAACTTCCCAAACAAACAAAAGCTAAAAGAGTTTATCACTAGGCCAGGCTTACAGGAATAACTACTAAAGGCAGTTTTTAAAGCTAAAATGAAAGGCCACTGAAAATACAAAATTCAATGATTAAAACATAACCAGATTCAGAATACTCTAGAGTAATGAAATGGTAGTGTGTAAAGCAATTTTATCTCTAATATAAAGGTTAAAAAGACAAAACTATGCAAAACAGCTAAAGCTACAACAAGTGGTTATATTTTGTATTACAAAAATATTATATATTACAAAAAGATGTAAACATTGACATCAAAATCATAAGGGGCAGGGAGTAAAACTGTAGTTTCTGTTTGTATGAAGCTAAGTTACTATCAGTTTAAAACAGCCTTTTATAACTATAAGATATTTTATGTAAGCCTCATGTTTTATGTAACCACAAAACAAACCTCTACGGTAGTTATACAAAACATAAAAAGAAAGGATTCAAACCATACCAATTCAGAAAATCATCAAATGCCAAGGAAAACAGGAAGAGAGAAAAGAAAGAATCTAAAAACTACCAGAAAAGAAATTACAGAATGGCTATTATATGTCCATATGTATCAATTACATTTTTTAATCAAAAGGCATAGGTTGAATGGATAAAACAAATGAAAAATACTACAAGAGACTCATTTGCCAGTAAGGACAACACAAAGACTAAAAGTAAAGAATGGTAAAAAATATTTTATACAAATGGGAAAATGGAAAACAAAATAGAGCAGAGGCAGCTATAATCATATGAGACAAAATAGAATTAAGTAAAAAAAGAGACGAGGAAGGTCACTATATAACAATGAATCAACTCATCAAAAGGACATAACAATTGTAAATATATAAACACCCAATATAAGACCACCTAAATATATAAAGCAGTTATTAATTTGAAGAGACAGACCGCAATGCAATAATACTAGAGGATGTTAATACCCCTCTTTCAACAAGGGACAATTATCTAGATGGAAAATTAATATGAAAATATTAAGAGTTGAATTACACTACAGACCAAACCAAAAGGAGCTATGCAAAACATTCTAACAAACAGCAGAGAATACATATTCTTCTCTAGCAAAATGGAACATTCTCCACCTTAGATCATATGGTAGGATACAAAAAAGTTCTCAACAAATTTAAAAGAAATAAAATCTTTTAAGAAATAAAATCTTATCAAGTACCTTTTCTGATTGCAAATAAAACTAGAAATGAATAATAGGAGAAATTTTAGAAAATTCAGAAATGTGGAAATTAAGCAAAATGTTCCTGAACAACCAGTAGGTCAAAAAAGAATCAAAAGGGAAATAAAAAAAATATTCTGAGACAAAATGAAAACACTATATGCCCAAACTTACAGTATTCAGCAAAAGCAGTTCATAGAGGAAAAGAAGATATAAGAAGAATGAGCTCAAATAATCTTCTATTCAAATGACTAGAAAAAAAAGGAACTCACTAAGCCTAAAGATAGCAGATATAAGAAAAGGACAAAAATCAGAGAAGAAATAATTAAAATAGAGACTAGAAAAATAATAGAAAAAAAATCAATGAAACTAAGTTGTTTTTTTATAAAGATAGTAGGCAAACTCTTAGTTAGATTTACCAGGAAGAAAGAAAAAACTCAAAATCTGAAATGAAAGAGAAGACATTACAATTGATACCACAAAAATAAAAATGATCATAACTACTAAGAACAGTTACACCACAAATTGATAACCTAGAATAAATAAATTCCTAGACACACCTACCAAGAGCAAATCAAGCAAAACAGAAAATCCGAATAGATCAATAACAAGAGACTGAATCTGTAATAAAAAGGCTCCCATCAAAGAAAGCCTAAGACCAGATGATTTCACAGCTGAATTACACCAAACTTAAAATACTTAAAGAAGTACTAA